ACTGTCCATATACCCATGGGTATATGTCCATCTTCTGGAACACAGCTGATGTACAAGAGTCTACACCCTTTAGGAAATGGAGTCTCCCTCCAAAAACTCCCATCAAGAGTCACTAGCTCCTCAGTTATGAGTTGGAATTTGTGAGCTGTCCCTCAGTCTATACTGGACTGTACCTGGCCTGGTAATGCAGGTCTCGTGCAGACAGTTACAGCTGCTGTGAGTTCATTATTAAAGGGTCTTGTCATATTCAGAAGGTACTACACTGACCTAGTCTTCCCCGACATCTGGATTTTAAAATCTTTTCACACCCCTCTTCCATGATGGCCCCTGAGACTTGGGGGCAAAGGGTTCGATATAGATGTCTCATTTGTGGCAGCTCAGTCCATGGACCTTCTATGCACTTTGACTAGCTGTGAGTTTCTGCATTAGCCACTATCCAGAGAGAGAGAGAGAGAGAGAGAGAGAGAGAGAGAGAGAGAGAGAGAGAGAGAGAGAGAGAGAAAGTTGCTTGTTGCTTGTTGCTTACAGGCTGAGATCCACCTAGTCCAACTTTTCCTTTTGTATACAAAGGAAAGTCCCAGAATCCAGTAGTTGTTCAGTTCATGAGGCTGTATGTCTCAGCTAGTCTTCAATATAGGGTAGAATCCTGAAGAATGGACTCATCATCAAGACCAAGGGCAAGCAGGCAAAGTGCAAAAGCTTCCATCATCCATGTTTCTTATATAGATAGCCACCAGAAGTGGTGACCTAGATTAAAGGTGGATCATACCATCTCAAAAGATCCAGATTAAAGGTGTGTCTTCCTGGGGAGGCAGAGCCAGGCAGATCTCTCTGTGTTGGAGGCCAATCTGGTCTACTGAGGGAATTCTAGAACAGCCAGAGCTACACAGTAAAACCTTGACTTAAAATAACAAAACAAAACAAAGGAAAAAGGCAGGAAGAAGAGAAGGAAGGAAGGAAAAAATGAAAGAAGGAAGGAAGGAAGGGAGGGAGGGAGGGAGGGAGGGAGGAAGGAAGGAAGGAAGGAAGGAAGGAAGGAAGGAAGGAAGGAAGGAAGGAAACAAACAATCTCTTACAAGTATACTCAGTGCTTGGGTTTTAATTCCACATGTAGTCAAGTTGATGAGAATGACCATCACATGTCTTTTATCCCTGTTAAATTGATTTTTATATATGTTGTAAAATAAGTTCAATATAGTTTTCTGCACGTGTGTGCACTAAAGAACTAGTCTTTCCTGATAGAGTTGTATTAGTTACTGTCTCCAAAATCACTTAATGGAGCAGGGGAAACAGCTCTCTATATAAGTATTTCTTGTGCAAACAGGAGGACCAGAATTTGGAGGATTAGAGTTTGGATCCCCAAAACCTACATAAAGGCTGTGGGCACTTGTGACAGCCACCTGCAGTGCCAGTACACTAAAGTAGACAGAGAGTCCTAGGGCAGACTAGCTAGGTAAATTAGCTGATTGCTGAGTTATCAATTCATTTGAGAGACCTTATCTCAATAAATAAAGTGGAAATAAATCAAAGACAACACCAGATGTCAATTTTGAAGTTGCAGAGATTCACACACATGGTCACCCATAAGTACATATCATATACATCAAATGCAAAAATATTAATTGATCATAAATCTAAGATTTTACTTCTGAATTGTTAGTTTTATCTTCTGATCAGTATGTTTTCAGTATTTTTAAGTAGATCAATGTGTCTCCAATATTTTTAAGTAATTTTTGTTCATGCATTTGTACAAAGCATTTGTATTATATGAGAAAAACATGAATAAAGTAAAAGAAATATTAATTTTGCTGTATTGGAAGGAGTTACTTTGCTCCCAGTTCTTCACTGACCTGTACGAGCATGCTCTTTTACCTTGGCCTGATAGGTGTGGGTGACAGAGTACACTTTGGACATGAGACTTTTGATTCTGGTTTTTAACCTGTTGTATTATGCTCTGAGCCTTAGAGTTGAGCAGATAATCGACTTGTACTTAGATGGTTGGTTTTGTTATCTGGCACTTCTGCTACCATTGTAAAAACAGCATGCCTTGGGAAGTCATCTTGCCAAACGTCCTGCAGAAGCCTGAGCCAAATCTGAACCCACTATGTGATCTGGAACCCAATGTAAAATAAACCAGACCCCAGTGAAAAATCAGACATGCAGGTGAGAAGCATATGCCTTTCAGTATTAACCACTGCCAAGCTATCATGTCTATTCTGTGTAAATAGCTAAAACACCTACAATTTAGATATAACCACATAATTTACACATGTAGGACCTAAAACTTAGACATAACCTTCCATTCTTCTGACTAAAATGACATTATAAAAGTGTGTGTTTGTGTGTGTGTGTGTGTGTGCTCTCTTCTTGTTTTTCCTATAATAGCTATTTATCAAAAGTCCTTGATAATAGTGGGAAGAGTGATAAATACTTGTAATCCCAGAACACAGGAAGAAGCAAGAGCATCACAAACTCAAGCTTATTTTTGGATACACAGCTAGTCTGAGGCCAGTCTAGGCCTAAAACATAAGACCCTAGCCCAAAACAAACAAACAAACAAACAAACAAACAAACCTATAAAGAAGCTTACCACAATCACAGTCACCCATTTTATCATCCACACAAGTCAAGATTGAGGAGCTGTATCTGTCTTCTACCCATCCCTATATTTCTTTTCCTATCGCATAGAAACCTGCACTGAGTTTCAGTCTTTTCTGTATCAACCTTGCTCTACAGATAACACTTTAATAAGCCGATTTAGCCAAAACTCAAGGAGAATCCAGTGAGTTTTGTTTGCTATGTATTTACAATTCAGATTCACCTATGCCATTTGACTAAATCCTCTCTATTTTCCTTCTGAAGAAGGGAGGGAGATTTAAAAGAGAGAAAACTAATTTTGTGAATTCTTTTAGAATGTTCCATTATGTCTTTGGACACTTATATTTAATCTTAAAGAGTGAAGCTGATGCCATAAAATTCCTGCCTTCGTTTATGTCCTTTGAGTTCACATGAAAACCTGGGAGAATTATGAATATATTATTTGTTTTTTATTGGTATAGTAAGTTAAAATATCAAACCATACCCTTGAGGGAAAATGGTATTCAGAGGCATAGTCAGAATAATTTTCTGAAAGACTTCAGAGGGTCTGGCATTGAGCATATCTGAAATCTGTGAATACATTTTGAATAAACATGTATAAGAAATACAGCAAACGTTAAAAGTAGCCTTTCAGGACACAATGCTCTGTGCTCATGATGAGTAATAAATATTTTCAGTATTCTTTAGTGATGGATGTGCCACATCTAAACTAAGACATACAGTACTCTGAAGAGCTAGCCAGATGGCTGAAACTGTCTAAACTTTCCTGGACAGCTCTCAGCAACGAGCAGAAGTTTTTTTTTCTGCTTCTTGTTTCACTTCTTCTTTCCCCAAGGAAGATCACATTGTTCGGGTCATCAAACAACAATTGATCTGGTTTCATTTTGGCATCTCTTTCAAATGGTTACCTTGGGAACCCCAAGGCACACACAGAATACTGTACTTACACTATGCGGACACTGAGCCATGCGGCAACTTCCTTCAGGGGGCCCACCATTTATCATCTCACAAACAGAAACACTGATCTAGCTTCCACAATGGCCTCTCTATGTCTGCTCAGAGGGAATGGCTGCCCCCTCTTCCCTGAAAGGCTTCTGGGCTGGTTTCTCTGGGGACTAGGGGTCCCGCACCAGGTATTCCTACAGCTGAGCCTGCAGCTGGCCTTTGGGAGGCAGTTACTAATATCTGGCTCAAATAAGGATTCACTGAACCCAGTTTGTGTGTACTCTCTAAGCCAGTGCTTCTTAAGCCTGTGGGACGTGACTCCCCGACAGGGGTCACCTATCAGATATCTTGCATATCAGATATTTGCATCATGATTTAAAACAGTAGCAACATTACAGTTATGAAGTAGCAAGGAAATAATTTTATGGTTGGGGTTAGAACCATTGCTGTAAGCCATAATTAAAGGGGAAAAATATCTGCTCTGTTAGCTACTCAGTGTGAAATTCCCCAGACTGAAACAACCAGAAAAAAGCAAAGGGCAGGAGACTCAAAGTGCATCAACTGAAGCACTACACTGGGCCCTGGGAGATGACTCAGGGGAAGCATGCAGAGTGTGCCCTGGAGACTGTCACTGTCAGGGCTTATGAAGGATGAGCTGGATCACGCTAGATAGACCCTAGCAATTTATTATAGCCAGACCCCTAGGAGCTCCTCTCCCCACGTGTTCACTTAAGGGTTCAGAACTTCATAACAAAGCAGAAGTCAGAGGGCCTGAGACTTCAGGATTAGGGTGGAGGGAGCTGCCCATGTGTCAGGCCCCATAACTTATCAACTCACGAGCCTACCGTTGGGATAGTAACCAGACACAGTACCTTTGCTTGCTTACATGCGAGCACACAATCACACACACATACACACACACACACACACACACACACACACCCCTCAAGCTGAAGCTTGCAGAGTTCTCAGATCATGGTATCTGCTGGAGGAGGCAAGCCTCTGTCAGTGAACAGTATGATCACTAAGACTCCAGTGTGGGCCCTCATTAATGGGTTGCTCTCTTTGGGAATCTTCCTCCAAAGAGCAGTAGTGTGGTCTTTCCATTGTAAGAGAAACTGCAGGTGTCTTCTTAACCATGACAGCTCTGTTGATGAAAGAGTAAAGAACCCGCCTTAAAGTCAAACACCAGTGCACCCAGAGAGGAGGTACACAGCTGCTGGCTTCCATCGCGGCAGCCACTGTACTTCTCAGTGAGCAGGAATCAAACGCTTGACTCACTGTGGGGTTGGTGGGGCAGATAAATACCTTTTTCTATGACTAGGCTGGAGACACACCCAGGACCCCCACCAAAAGGAGGGACAGGAAAAGAGAAATAATTGGTAAACACAGAAAATGTTTCAATAGAGAAAAGAGGAAACAGAACACTTTGTAGCCCTGTTATCAGCAGAGGCAGAGCTAACACTTGGGGATATCAAACTTAAAGAAGCTCACTGGACAGGTCCGGGTATGTGGTTTTATTTTTGGTGGTGGTTCTGTAACTAATGTGCTCTTTCGTATCAAGGTGAGTCCCGTTAAACTATTGTCTTATGTTTTGTCAAAGCCCTTGGAAATAGAAGACATTTGTTCCTGCTGCTGTCTACACTTTGCAAAAATTAAAAGAAGTCTCTCTCTATATATATAGTGATAAGACTTCTTCAAAAATATATGAGTTTAGAAGACAGGCTCTTTAGATCTAGTTAGATATAATCAGAAAAAGTTTCAGAGTTAATTTCACAAGTTACAAATTCAGAGACAACAATAAGGTAATGATGACATCGTATAACTGAAGTTATTTTGTTTCTGGTTTCTGATGAAATTTCTTTGGTATCTGTGATTTTTATTTCATCTAAAATCTACAAAAAGCTTATGAAATGTCTCACTTGGCTTTATGCTCACTAGTTAGGTACCTAAAGCCAGGAAGATATATGTTCCAGATACACAGAAAGCATGTATGCAAAGGAACATAAATAAATAAATAAATAAATAAATAAATAAATAAATAAATAAGCAAGCAGAAAAAGAGAGGAAGGGCAGGAAAACTTACAATTCATTAAATTATAATTTTGAACATTTCACTACCTGTTATTTCGGCATGTTCATATGCTCTCTTCAATAGTTGTCTGGTGATAAATCTATGTAGTTGATTATTAAACATTTATATTTTGAAATATAATCAAGTTTTGAAAATTAAACTGTCTCATTTGTTTAACATGACTTAACATCCAATGTGGGGAAATTTTTAAGTAATGCATGCAAGAAGCCAGGCTTGCCAGGCGTTCCTCACACAGTCCCACAGCTGATCTAAGCTATCGCTTTGTTGATGTTGAACAGACTTGCCTCATCAGGGTTGGATAATGACTTGTCCCTATTCTTCACTGGACCAAGCCTAATAGGCATGTACCCTGGACCTGATAGAGTGATCCGTGCTGGGTCTATGATGGAAAGCCAGATACAACAGGCTGCGGTGGTTCTCGACTTCTAATGTTGAGAATCCATGGAATGGAAGGGCTCATCCATAGACAGGTATGTCCACCAATGAGGAAGCATCTATATAGATAATACTTGGTGCCAAATGAAATTGGTGGGATGCAGTTAAGTATGGAGATACTTGTAGCAAACACTCTCTCTATACAGAATACTGAGGGTGGCAGCTATTTGAGTCTAGTCCTACGGAGTCTTTTGTGTTTGAACATGAAGGTGATATTTTAGGATATTTTAGAAAATTATTCAGAAGTCCAGTGATGGGAAAAATAAAGTGTCCCGTGTGTCATCCCGTTTCTCATTTATACTTTTATGAATATGTCCTGTTTTTCACTGTGGGGGTGACATGGTGTACCTAGCTCAACACATTACTTGCTTTATGTTTCCATCACCCTCACTAAAGAATTGTGTTTTATGGCTGGCTATGCTGTACAGGGTTAAAATGGGAAAGCAAATTCTTTCCTTGTAACACTCTAAAATAGCATGAATCCTCCTAGCGACTTTTCAATTTCTGCCATACAGGTTGTGCTTGGAATTAGATGTCACCACAAGTCATTCACAAAGGCATTGAAAATAGGAACTGCCAATATAATTTTGGTTGTAAAATGAATACTCCAGGCATAAAAAATAAATTGAGAAGGGAAAATTATATTTCTGAACTTCTGCAGAATTTGACCGATTCTCGGGAACACTGGGGAAGTCCATCATTAATGACCAGAGCCTGAGTCAACTTAATTTCTAGAAACATCTGTCATGAAAGATATCACACTCCTTTGGTCTTCTAAATTTCAACAAGGCCTCTCAAAAATTTTATGATCACTCACAGAAATGTTACGTAAACAAGTTCCTTCCAATCACCCTCAAAGATAGAGCATGTATTTCTGGCAGTAGGTAGGCAATCTTTATTTACTATATTCTTAATTTATTCATCAGTTTAATAATGTAATGGGTTTGGATTTCATTTTAATTAGTAGGCAAGAGAAAAATAACTTAAGTGTGTTATTATCTTGAGATTGTACAAATAAATGAAGCTACTAGGTTAGCTATATTTTAATATGAGGACTTACAGTCTGTTTTGATAGAAGTGTAAAACTTTGAATGTATGAACCAAAAAGCTAGAATATTTTTTTCCTTTACTAAAGGTGATGTCTCCTGCAAAAAGCTCACGGGCTTTAAGCAGCCACAAAAAGTAGTTTGGGGAAACGGAGTCAGCTAATCACAGGACACAGAGTCAGATACCGAAGCTCCAGTAATATCCAGCCTTTGCTGAAATTTATCTGCTCAGTTTTGAGATATTTGTGGCCTATTTGAGCACCTTGAGCTGTCCAATATCTCAAAAGTATTGCCCATGGCATAAAAAAAAAATCAGAAGATATGAAGAATCATGTTGCCGTTAATGGCCAAAACTTAGTTTTAAAAAATGTTTGAGTGATCAAACTTGAAACAGAATTCTATTTTCAGGCACAATAAAATCAGAATACAAGGTAAATTCTAGGGGAGAGTGCTTACTAATATAAAATATTCAATTACTTCCCCACTGAGATATTTAGCAGAATCATTACTTACTTCAACAATTTAATTGCAAAGGATAAACAGATGTTTGTTATTTTTACAAGCACTGTGTTAAGACACTTCCTGTTTTACCAGTCAGTAAAAGTCACTACAGGGGTATTAATGTGAGGTGTTTATTTTTTCCTGACTTAGAACTCCTCTTAATGAAAACCAGGGGAGGTAGGACATATAGAACATCATGTCAGGAAATGCTGACATCAAAAGATGCAGCTTTCATAATTCGAAGCAGCAGTTATCTTTGTTGTTACGAAGGATATGTTAGCCTCTCAGGCTTATTGCATTAGAAATACTTCCCTTTAGCATGAAATGTCCAACTGGTTGAAAATTTAGAAGACTAATGCAGTGTCTGCTTTCATGGTCATGACCATGATCGGTACAAAAATTCACCTTTACAGGGAGAAAATGTCACAGAAAAAGAAATGGGATTGTTTTGCTGAAAACTGGCACAAGTCTGATAAGTGTATTTGAAAAAAATAAAGGAAGAAGGAAAGAATTGAAGGCCTTCTATATGCTGTCCGTTTACAGCTATTGTGTTCTTCCACTAACTTTAGCAGTAAGAGCAGTATGTTAAGTAAGACATTGGAAGACAAGATAAAATAATGAAGCAAGAGTATTTGGTATTAATTTTCAGAAATTATCCATTTAATGGAGATATTTTCCTTGGCTGCGCTGGAGTAAGATTTTGAAAATGTCTGGCCACTTAAGTAATTTTTTAAAGAAAAGATTCATCTTATTGATTAATTAAAAAAATATTTATTGGGGAAGTGCTAAGGGTCAAACCAAGGTATTCCATAGTCTAAGCAAGCTTCTCCCACTGACCTACATCTCAGCCCTGTAAGTCATTTTAATTGTTATCAAGATACAAAAGCATACATTTTTTTGTCTGAAAACCTGAAGTAGGTCTTCACTCATATACACAAACACAGACACAGACACACACACACACACACACACACACGGTAATAAAAAAATAATATTTTGTTTTTGTTTTTAAGTGAGGAGGCACATGTCAGATGGAAGTCACACACATTGCTCTTCCTTAAAGTTAAGCTTGAGAAAGTTGCTGGGGGGGGGGAACTCCAGGTCTATGATCTACAGGTCCCAGCAGGAACTGTTGCATGCCCCTGTTGGACTCCAGGGCTGAGATTATCTGCTTTTCATCATTCACTGAACCTAACATTCTATTCCCCTTCCTTTGGATTATCAAGCTGTTTTCTGGAAGGAGAAATACTTAACACTTTTCCAGGTATGTAAGTGACTATATCCTCCCCTGGCCTGTCTTCATCTGGGTGCATCAGACAGTAAATCATGTTCTCCCAAACTTAAAGCACCACAAATCCATCCTGAAATTTTAAAGGCTCTTTGTTTCTCACATTACAACTTGTTATCAATGTAGTTTCTTGTCACATTGACTTTTGGAAGAAGAGTAGTGGAGACAGAACCTAGGACTTCATACATAACACTGTACCACCAAGCCCCTAATTTAAAAGCACATGAATGTAAGTGGTAGTGTTTATGTTTATTATTAATTGCTTAGAACCTTTCCTGTCCCGATGACTGCTCTGATGTCCTGGATACTGTTCTTCTCCTCTTTTCTTCCTTTTCTTCTAGCTCTACATATTTGCTCACTGGATTCTAGCAAGAAGATCTATCTCTCCTTGTGTGTACTGTGAACTTTAGTTCATTCTTTGTTAGTCAAATAAGAAGTCTGTTTGTACTTATTGTGCCCCCAAACACACACTGGGGACACTTTCTAATTAATTCTTGATTTACATGTCATCAGTCCCCAAAGACTACGAATCTACAGCCCAAGAGCAAAGTTCCATATATTTTTCATTCCCACCATGCAAAAGAAATCATAAGCCTTTGCTAAATGACCAACGCTCTGATTTTATGTTGGAAAGTAGCTACCAGCTTTCCTTACAAATGACAACACAATGACTTGGATTTTTGTCTTCCATTTTTCTGACAGTATTTTGCCACCATGGTGCCTGTGTTACTGATTCTTATGGGAGCTTTGGCAACACTGCAAGCTGACGTACTTTCTCATCAAAAGTGTAAGCACCTTCTATTCAATAATGTTTGGTTTTGCTAAAGTACATTATAAAATAGGTAATAGCTGGTTTTCTCCTAAATAAGCATTCTACTGGGAAATTTTTATAAAACAATATAAACTCTTGAGATTTAAGAAGGTTGTGTGGGCAAAAATGTAAATTCTATGCTTCAATGGGAAATTCAATTCTAAGAGTACAAACTGACATCGCGGAAGAAAGCAGTCTCGGGAGGCCACATTTAGGACTTCCACTTCCATTGGTAACTTTACAAAAGGCTTCAAAGGAAGCAAGAAAAAAGTCTACCATTTCTCTTTTTTCCCCTCTACCCCCTTGTTGATCTAAGGGTTTGGTATGATAATAGAGGTCAAGAGAGGAAAACTGTCTGACGGTACCAGCTCAGCTCTGTCTAGAATTCTCTGTAAAGACCACATTTCACCAAGCAATTGAAATATACACAGTCCGTCTACAGCAATGAACTTTGGAATTTAGTTATCTAATTTAGATGTGAGAAGCCACAGTAGCCAGTGGCTGCTGGAATAAAGGTGAACTACATAGACAACCCTGGAAACCCTTGCATGTCAAATGCAGGTGCAGAGTCATAAAGGCCTTTAAAGGTCAACAGAAAGCACTGAAAATTTAGTAAATGAGTAAATTAAAGATTGTAATATGTGTATCACAATGTAAAGTGTCACCCTAGTTTGAGTGAGAAATTTTAAGAAGTTGTCTAAGCATATGGCCAGGATAACATAACAAAGGGAGAGGTGTATTGAAATTGTTTTTCTTTCTTCTCTGTGCTCATTCTGTTTTGCAGCATCTCTACAATGATGCTCTACAATCAGTGGCTACTGATTCCTTAATTAAATGAAATATTTTAGTATGAAAGCAAATCTGTTTTTCCACTCAAATAGTTTTGGCTATGATGCATAATGAGAAATACATGTATTTTACATTGTGAATTATTGGTTTTATAAGTAGGTACTTTCATGCAATGAAAACCAGATGTCTTTGAGAAAACTGTTGTCATATTTAACTCCCATTCCTGGTGTTTTCTACCTATCTTCTATACTACTATAAAAAGGGGAGGGGTGGGAATTAGAACTCTAGAAGTTATCACAACCATTTCACTGGTTATGATGCTTATTTTGAAACTACAGCTTCGATAACAATATGGTAGGCTGTTCATATTCAAGAAAAACTTGTGAAAGTTACAAATAATACATGAACAATGAACTAGCAATAATTTTAAGGAAACTTTTGACAAATTATTTCAGTGTTATATATTCTAATAAGCTACAACAAACCAGCATGTTATTTAAGAAAATAATTAAAATTTGTTCAGGACCAAGAATACAGCTTAGTGGTAATATATACCTTTTCCATATTCACCAACCCTGAGTTTCATTCCCAACACAGTATACAAAAAAGTGCTCTTTATGGAAAACTGTGTATTGTATCATTGGTTTCCTTTTGTTTTTAATTAATAGTTTTACTTCTACCACCTGTCAATTTTACCATTAAAGCCATTGGATTAGCTCAAGTTCTTTTACACTGGGACCCAAATCCTCACCAAGAGCAAAGGCATGCTGATCTAGTGTACCATGTGAAAATAAATGCCCCACAAGAAGATGAAGTAAGTGTTGTGTCTGATGACAATCATTACCAAGAGTAAGATCGTCTTGTGTTATCAGTAGGATCCGTAAAATAAATTAGACCAATGCTTATTATTCAAGATGAAACATTAGCATAGAAGACTTTATCTCAAGGAAAATTCTCTCCTTCAAGAAAGAATACTCCCTACTGCCCCCTCCTTTTCTTCCCCCACCGTGTGTGTGTGTGTGTGTGTGTGTGTGTGAGTGAGTGAGAGAGAGAGAGAGAGAGAGAGAGAGAGAGAGAGAGAGAGAGAGAGA